TGATATTTTAAATATTTTATATTTTATTATCTTATTAAAATTGTGATTTGACGGAAAATATTAAAATATTAACCTAATTCACAATATGACTCAAATATACTACCTTATGATTTAAATGGATCAGGGATGCAACACATAATTTTCCTTTGTGTCACAAATTATAGTACGAGGAAGTGAAAAGTTCAAATATCCATACACAAATTCATTACTCAGAAAACATAATCAAAAACAGTTCAGAATACAAATAACACAGCTCTACCTCCATTCTCCTCAAGCGCCTACATAGTGTATAATGAGACACCTTTTTTTTGCACCATGGCTCTGAACACATACATAGATTATAAAACATGTCTTGCCATTTTGTTTTATTCCAAGGCAACAGCTAAATGAGTATCATCACCCTACAAATCCACAAAACTCTCAATTTATAAGTACAAGGTGCGATCGGAAAGTTTCAAGACTGTGTCAATAGATAGCGAACCGGATGTAGTACAAGCTTCTGCCGCTAGGGGGTGCGGCCTACATTCATAGTGAATCAGTGTGCCAGCCGGCATCATCGAATTAGCATTTGTTTCTTAGTTACGGGCGTTTTGGTAGTGCATTACACCGACCCTCCTGCGATTTCGGAATGGCGTGTGCATCAAATTTTGCCAAAGACTCGCCAAAACGGCTACGGAAACCTATGAAATGCTAAAGCAAGCATTTGGGGAGTCCGCAATGGGTCGTGCACAAACTTCTGTGTGGCATTCACGTTTTAAAAATGGCCGAACCTCTGTCGATGATGACGAGCGTTCTGGACGACCATCTTCGAGCACAACGCCCGAAAATGTTACGAAGATTCGGCAGGCCATTCACGAAGATCGACGTCGTACCATCAACGACTTGTGCGACATTGTTGGGATAGGCTATGGGACCTGTCAGCTGATTCTAAAGGAAGAACTCCACATGCGACGCCAAGGCTCCTGTCTGAGGACCAGAAGCAGAATCGACTTCTCGTTTGTCAGGAGCTCAAAGATCTTGCAAGAACCGACCCCAACTTCCTTTCTAAGCTCCGTGTGACTTCTTCCTCCTCCCAAAGATGAAAATTCAGCTAAAGGGAATGAGATTTGAGACGATAGAAGAGATTCAGGCAGAATCGCAGATGGTGCTTGACAGGCTGACAAAGAAAGATTTCCAGGGATGCTTCCAGGCTTGGCAGCGGAGCTGGGATCGTTGTGTTCCCTCCCAGGGGAACTACTTCGAGGGTGATGGATGAATTTAATACCTGAGATAAGTGTACGGGTTTTTATACGCGCAGTCTGGAAACCTTTCGATCGCACCTCGTACATTTTCAATGAATAGCAAAATTGCTATCAGTCTCCTAGAATTGTGATGTCACCAACAGGACAATGATGTAGGCAGTAAGGACCTCTGAAACGTCTGTAAACTTCTACCAGACTACATGGCGCAACAACCCAGAAGACAACCATCTTCAGACTTACCGCCGTGAGAACCTCAAATCCTACATATGAACAGTTTCTTCCCAAATATCATTTCTAGACCAACCATTTTACTTGGACCAAATTCAGATTTTGTGTCAATTTTCTGTTGTTTCACACTGAATCATGTGTTTCCATTAGGATGATCATCACTACTGACAGAATTTTAATCCCCTTAAAAATGATGAATGCACTCAAAAATACCTGCATCAACTGAGAAATTTAAATCTGATATTCTCATAAAATTCAAAATTTGAATGCACAGATATTACTCTTGTATTGTCAGACATTATTATACTGACATGCACTAAAATACTCTGACCACTTACAACTGTAAAAAGATAATAGAGCTGAAGACATGCAGTACCATGCAGCCACATTCCTGTGAAGTGCGATTTTTTGATGCATAAATTCAATTTCAATCTTTTTGATCAGAAACCTTCTTTTATAAGCTATCACTACTTCAGTCATCACGGACGTGTGTCAACTAGACCTTGCCTGCAATTACGGAAAATAATGCAAAACTCACACATGCTGTAGTCGGCTATGAATCCACGAGCAGTTCCCGTCCCACTGCTCTGGAACCTGACCCAGATACTATGAGACGCGGTGATGTTGCTGGGTATGTCAGTTCCGCAGTACACACCAATCAGTGTCCCTACTGCACTCTCTCTTCGCAGTTCTATGTAGTCATCATTGCAAAATTCACTTGTCTCCAGTTCAAATAGGCTGAAGCTCACAAGCACTCGGTTAGCAATGGTTGAAACTTTATTCGGATTGCGGCGAAAATTAGAAAGAGGATGGGCAAATTCAAAGACAAAAGCAAAAAAGCAGTGTCTTGTGACGGACTTTTTTACAAGAATTAAGTGATATCATATGTTGAGCTAATGCTGTAAGTACAATTAAAAAAATACATTCTGAACATTTAAAATTTCATTGAGGCTGGGGTGTAATGTGCAACCATGAGAGTGGGGTTCAAAAGATTATTAATACTATTGTCATTAATTCTTAATTCAAGCAAGCCTACAGTAGTTAGATTATGTAAAATAGAATACATTGTCGGTAAACGTAAGGTATTGGTGCCCTTCTTTGAGCTTATCCATGTAAGTTTAATTTAGTGAAAACAAAAGTTATGAAAATTTAATTTACCCCTTTGATTTTTCTTATCAATAATTTCCTTTTTGGGAAGGGCTCCATAATACTTCACAATTACCACATTGTCATTACACCACAATTTGAAAGGCTGATTTTCCCCTTTCCCTCTATCCTGGACACCTCTGTAAGTAGGACACATTATCGTGGAACCGCAAGTGTCCAAGTTAGAGAGGTTTTACTGTATATTAACTTTCCATAATAAATACAACCACATGAAGGTCTCCACAAAAACTGAGTTTTGGAGACGAAGAATGTGCCTGTCTTTTCTGAACACCTACACATAATGCTGCTCTGTCCAAACAAAGTTTCATTTATTGTAATTCTAGAAGCTGAATTCACTCACCTGGTGACGTTCCAATGAACCATTCACAGTCGGACTCCACGGGATAGCTATTCGGGTAGCCAGGCGATGCAAATGAGCCATGTTCAGATGACAGATTACCACCACATGCTACAATAACAAATTTATGTTAATTCCATAATTGTTTTTTCTTAAGTGATGTGAGGCTAAATGACTTTAGGACAGAATGAAGATTATTCTCTTGTGGGTTGTTGTGTTGTGTAGTCTGGTTAAAGTTTACTGATACTTCAGATGGCCTTGATGATGAAGGTATCAAGCACTTCTGAAACATTGGTAAACTTGAAGATTGATGTCTTCTGGGTCATTGCGCTGCGTAGTCTGGTAGATGTCCACCAACGTTTCAGAGGTCATGCTGCCTCCATCATCAGGGCCCTGATGATGGAGGCAGTGTGACCTCTGAAACGTTGGTGGACATCTACCAGACTACGCGGCGCAATGACCCAGAAGACATCAATCTTCAGACTTACCGCTGTGAAAACCTCAAACCTTAAAATTGGTAAACTTGTACTTCTGCCAGATTAATTAGCACAACAACCCAGACGAAAGTCATCTTACACTCCCTGCTGTGATAGCCCCAAATATACTTTTAGAATAAATGATGATGATGGGGCTACAATATGTTGCTATATCTCAGAGATGAAAACATTCAGACATGCAGTTGGAAGCTTCTGTACTAAATATGCACAGTTTTAAATTTCAAATGTTTACTTCTATTTTGTGCTGAGATCCAGAGTACACAGAGTTTCATCTCCCGATCCACTACACAAGAAAACAAGTGAAATGACAATACCATAACTCGTTTCATAATTTACACAATATTAATTAGAAATTATATTACCAAATTTTACATGAATTATGCACGTAAGATTTTATAAAAATTGTTCATTGTGCAAAATGTCACTGGTCACTTGCAAATATGTAAAAGTGAAACATATTCTACAAAAAGAAGAAATATATAAAATAAATATATAAGTAAAATAAATGAGGACATCCTCATTTAATTAATAAAACAGACAGCTGGTGATTTATTTAGAGCAGAGTGACAAATTTCAGTGAAATTTACATCCTTTTCAGTAAAAATGGTGGAAGTACTGTTCAATACAGTATTCTGTTTGTGATAAATTCATAGAATGGAGAACCACTATTAAGTTAATAGTTACATTTGAGAAAAAATACCACAATTACAAAACTTTAAGGACTGACCAAGTGTGAAAAAGTGATTGAAATTGTGAGAAATAGGTATCATTCAGAAGAAAAATGAGGAACAGTGAACATGAAAGTCTGTAACAAATTATACTAAAACAGTTTCAGTAGTAAACAGAATCTGGTGACAAGAGAATCTATGAAGAAGTAACAGTAAGACTTAAATAATACTGACCGCCAAAAACAAATGAGAGTGAGATTTTGGTTTTCAAGTAGATCTAGGAAACAAACACCAAAAGTGTGCAATTACGAGGCGCGTCCACAAAGTAAGTTTCCCACTCGTCCCACAGCTAGCAAACCTTATATTGAGCGAAGCGACTGTGCATACGTGATAGAGCAATGACGTAGCATGGCGC